GTCTTTGAAAGCAAGTACCACAAGTGTAGTACCTCTAATGGCTCACAAACACCAAGAGTAAATGGAGAGGCAAAAGAGAGAGAGTGAGAGAGAGAGAGAGAGAGAGACGCAAGAGGCAGAAAATCGGCTCTAGGTCTTCTAGGGATCAAGTGGCCGATTTCCCTTAGCCAAGGGATCCTTAAATAGGGTAGAGATTAGGGTTTCAGTCCTTGTCCTTATTTGGTTGCTTACCCACTAAGCAGCCCATAAGATAAGTCTAGAAGAGTTATCATTGGACGAATTCTAGGGCCTTATCCCTTTGAATTTGTCCACCCTATCCATAGGGCATCCATTAACCTAATTTGCAACTCTCACATAATTACAATTCAGCCCCTCTAGTTTAATTAATTACTTTTGATCACATAATTAATTCTTAATTAGTTATTGACCAATATTAATTAAACAAATATGATTTCTCTTTTAATATATTATTCGTATAATATATTAATAAATCATAATAACATCTTTCTCTATTATTTCTCCAGTCAAGTTGCTTTGTTGAAGGCACCCAAAAGGACCATGCACAACCGGGTCAAGTACTTATCAAATATGGTTACGGGCTTAGACACTAATCCAACACAAGTTGGGTGGAGTGTTCATTCCGCACGATATATACATCTAGAGTTAGGGACTAGGGGTAGGTGTGACGGATGGAAGCTCGTTAGCCAGTACGTATATATTTGGAGTTTTAGGCTGATTGATTCCTGGTTTGTGGAGCATGACCACAGATTTGGTTATAGTCACAGCTTCAGAAGCCCTTACTAGTTTGACTAGTTTCGCTAAGATTGGGGCCATTCCATTGGAGAAGAGGTAGTTGTTGCATTCAGTGCTCTAAAAGGCGCGCCATGGCGCGCATTTACATATGCCATGACGTGAGGCGCGACTTCACCATTACAAAAAGCCTCATAACGTTGCTGTTAGGCGTGACGCATTGCAAGGCGTCATATGGCATGCTATGGTGCATTACGGCATGTTATGGCCGATGTTTTATCGTTTGAAACATGTTTTTTTCTTTTCTCTTTTATGCATTTTCTAATCGAACAAACAAGTGTTGTGTTTTTTCTTTAACTTTTTTTACTAGTTATTGTAATAACACTTCTAAAAACTAGCTATATTTGATATAAATCTATATTTATGTGTTAATATAATTATAAATTAATATCAACTTGACGCCTTAGATTACGCCTTGAAAAATGTCATGGCTCATTAAGCTTGAGGCATAGCCTTGCTGACACGCCACGCCTAACGACTTTTAGAACATTGGTTGCAATTGAATGTTTTCAAGTGACTTGGTTGTTTTTGGCAACATTTGAGTTGAATGGTCTCTCGAGTTTTCAATTTTGATGTGTCGGTTTTATGAAGCAGTTGGAGGTTGCGTATGGATTGTGTTAGTGTTAGGGGAGAGTTGTAACACCCGTCACAAGAATACTTCTTCTGAGGCTTGGTCATTTAGACCTTTTAAATGTGGAATTTGGTGGTGGCCATTATATGGTGGTGCATGGAGTGAGAAACCCTAAACTTTGGGTCTAGAGGCCTATTTAAAGGATGTGATGGCTAGCGTTTGCTTACCCTCAGCCTCCATCACCCTCTCAAGTTCATAAACAAATCCTAGCCCCCTTGTATTCATCTTTAAGTTTATTGTGGCGGTTTGTGACATTGAAGAAGGAAGAAATAAGCTCCGAGTCCAAGGACTCAGTAAGCAAATTTCTTCACCACCTTCTTGTGTATAGCTTAGAACTTTGTAAGTCCATAATTTCCTACCTTTTTGTCCATCTCTTCTAGATCTAGGCTTTGAAACACATTTCTTCTTATTTTTGTTGGTTTGAGTGGATGGATTCCATAAAGTTGGCAACTTTATGGAACATTGAGGTCTCTAGATATGAGGTTTTATGAAGTTTTGGATTCCAAGCATGAGGTTTTGACCTCTTTCTTCTTAGTTTGAACTAACTTGAGTGTATGACATGCATTGGACATGTATGTCCATAAAGTAAGGGTTTTTATGGTGGTTATGGGTGCAGGGAAGCCTTCTACAAAGCATGAGTATGAGGCTTAATGGATTAAAGAGCTTAATCCATTAAGAGGTCCATAACAGGTCCCACGACGTGGTGGTGTGATGACTACGACGTGGTGGAAGGGTTTACCATGACTGTTTTGTCGCGAGAATGCCACGACGTGACCTATGCTTAGCTACGATGTGGTAACCACCTAAGTTGACTTTAAATTTTACCATTGACCGTTGACTAAGTTGACTTTCTGGTCGACTTGAGGGTTTCAAACTGTAGATTGATAATTTGCCTCTAGTTGATGTATAGGGGGTTCGTAGTGTCAGTCTTTACTTCCGCATGAGCCATAGTTTGGTCTACTCATTTATGAGGTGAGTTTTCTCACTATAGTTTGTACTACATTATGTATCCTTTGTGTGTTAGGATGTTGGCATGTTGTAGTGATCTGTTAGATTAGCAGATCTATTATGATTACGTATGTTTGGTGTTTATTGTTTGTTTACACATGTCGACATATTGTAGGTGGGTTGAGGCGGTCCTGCTTTGTGATGTAGGCCAAGATACCCAGGAAATCTAGTTGCGAATGTAGGCCAAAGGAGAGCGGTCCAGCTAGATGTTGTAGGCTAAGGAAATTGGTCCAGTTGGTACTATAGGCTCATAAGAGCGGTCCAACTATAGGCTTTTGACTTAGGAGGCGGGCCAAACCTGTGTTGTAGGCCTGGTGTGCATGCATTTTTTGTGTATTGTAGTGTGGGGGCATTTTGAGAAACTCACTAAGTTTTAGGTTATAGTTGTGGATTTAAATGTTTCTAGTACTTTTGAAGACTAGGGCAAGGAGAAGGCGTGACTGTACACATCGTCCAACAGTCGTTATGTTTTGAGAGATACTATGGTTTTGATACTCTGATTTTATGTTATGATTGTGAAGCAATGTTTTTGGTAACATGTATTTTATGAAAAAAAACTTTCTCTTTTGAAAATAAAAAACTTTACAATGATTTTGGGGACATTACACAGCTAAAGGAAATCATTTCTTAGATGACGAACTTCGTGAACGCCAACCATACTGCATCGTTGTCATATACAACCAACTCACCGTCCTACTGGGTATTTGTACGTACAAGATCTAAAGTACATTGTTGTTTAATTACTTTTCGAGGATGTCATCTTCAGACTGAAAATAGAATAAAGAACTCAAGAATAAATATTTACGAAAAACATCGAGAATAAAGAAGTTTTTTTAGTGGTGTGTTAAACCAAATGAACCCCTCCTATTTATATATAGGCCTAGGGTGGGAAAAATGATAAATTTGGGGGTAAGACCATCTCCAACCCCTCCCCATTTTGGTAGACTAAAGTGTGCTTCTTTATCTTTAATACATTTATATCGAGCAAGAAATTGTTGGAATTGACTGTCTTCGTCTGTCGTCAATTCAACCTCTATCATATTTGTAATATATATTTTAATTATAAGTTTTTGTAAAATACGTTATTATTTTTTAAAATTTCAATATGTATTTAATTTTTTATATAAATTTGATGAAAAAAACAAATTTTATAATTATAATTATTTAATATAATTTAATATATAATAAAATATTATAATTATTAAATATTATATTTAACTTATAATTAGTAGGTAAAAACGAACTAGAAATATATAAATATATAAACAAATGGACTAAAACCGACAACACAAAGTTCATCCACATTTTGGGGGAAATGAATAGTATACCACCATATTTGGTGTAATACTATTCATATCCCCCAAAATGAGGGAGAAAATGGGGGAAGAATGGAGAATGAGAGTGGGATGGAGATGCTCTAAATGGTTATATAGCCATTTTATTGGAAAAAAATATGTTTTTGTATTTGTTCTAAAGATAATATTTGAATCCGGGTAAAAATTGAATAATTATCTATTTAGAAAATCAGGATAAAATCAAGGTCTAGGATCATATGTCAAACCAACAGTTAGTGTATATTTAATTCGGATATTCATAGAGATCGGACATGGATACCTTTTCAGATTTCCTAAAAATCTGAACCCGGTTTAAGAACCTTTAGTCCTCTACTCACCAATCCCACCCCATCCTTTCCCTTGTTCACTTCTTCATCTCTTTAATCTCGTCAAAAAGTGCCATCCATCTCTAATCAAATGAACACAAAATAGAACACCTAGTTACGATTGTAGTGTAAGCACATGAATAGGATGGAAAAAGCAAACGAAAAAAAAGGTGATAATACATCTAATAGTAAATTATCATGCCTAAAAATTCTTAAAGGGGTATTATTTATGTTGAGATATCAACACTACTAGAAAAAAAACCTTTTACGACATGCAATGCATGTCGTAAAACACTCAGATGACGCGCAAATGCGTGTCAAGGAAGGCTCTGTCATAATGAGAGACGACGCGCATTTACGACGCACATTTATGACATGCATTTACGACGCGCAATGCGTATCAAGGAAGCCCCTGTCATAACGGTAGGCGACACGCATTTGCGTGTCTTAACCTTATGACGCACGTTTATGACACACATTGCGTATCATTAAAGCCTCTGTCATAATTGAAGATGACACGCATTTGTGTGTCATAAACTTCAACAATCATTTACGATATGCATTTACGACGTGCCTTTACGATATTCATTTACGCATACAAAAATATGGAAACAAATATATACCAAAATAATCAATTTGATCCAATAACATCATGTCAAACAAGTTATCAAAAATTGAAATACATTGATATTAATATGATAATATAGTGTTATTAAGGGGTTTTCCCTAACTATATAGCTTGATTCTACATCCCTAACTATATAACCTGATCCTTCATGTCATTGGTTTGCTAGTTGGTGTACCACGTAAAAAGGTTGAACTTAGTGTCATGGGCGGCCGACCACCGGGCATGGCTGGAAAGTAATTTCTCCCTACATTGTTTTTTCTGTTCTAACTATCTCTAGTAGTGGCATCAGGTGAGCTGGAATGTAATCATTTAATAAGAAAAAAATTAAAAAAAAGTTAATATGAGTTCAAAATTGCCTATAAGATGTAGACATATGGATTTTGTCATGTAACCTGAAGAAATGTGCCCCAATAACTCGATCTTGAAATTTTATTTTTTCTCCAATTAAATTGAGGTCAATGGTGGATGTGTTGGTTGCTAAAATGCAATGAGGGGGACAAATGTTTTCAATATCACTGAAGATCTTTTTCTTTAAAGGAATGTTCTCAATTACAGCCTGTATTCACAAATAGAGTTGCCAAATTATGTCTTTTATAAAGTTTACATTTTATGTGTTTTTAAAGATCATACCTCTGTAACCATATCTACATCTTTAAATTGCGAGTAATCCAAAACCCCATTAACCAATGACAACGCCTTTTCACCTTGACCCTGTAGTAGCTTCTTCCTTGCAGCCAATCCTTTAACATTTGCTGAAAAAGTCATCAAATATATAACCAATAAGTCACATAATAAAATGGCTACAAAATATAAGAGATAATTAACTACCTTCTGTTATTTTTAGTCCCTTTTGAAGATACTTAGAGTTGACATCCTTGAGAACAACTTTTATATTACCAAGAATAAGGGCAGTTGCTATTCCAGACCACATTAAACCTCCACCAATCACAATAACTTTCTTCACACTTCTTGGCTTTAGACCAACATCAGTAACTTTAGGTACTTGTAAATGTAAAATCAAAGAAAACCAAGTTTACATTTGTAGAAATTTTGATATTCCAGAAAAAAATAAGAGAAAAAGGTTTAAATTACCTTTGAGATTGCACGTTGTGCAAAGAATATATGAACAAGACCTTTTGATGTTTATGAAACAACAAGCTCATTGAACACCTTCACCTCCTGAGGAACAAAGTGTTTGCATTATTAGAAGTAATTGATAAACAAGTTACTTACAAAAATGGTCTCTGTGATTTCTGATTTAACCGCGTTTGGTCCAAAAATGAAATCTTTCTTCATTTTGGTCCTTATTTCAAAGGTTCCAAGGACCAAAACCTTGAAAAAAGAATCAACATTGAAAAGGGTTTCACGTTTTGACTATACTAGGTAATTTTTTAATCAGAAAGTACAATGACCATTTTGTAATTTACTCTAGATAAAATCCGGGTATATAAGTAACAACTAGTATAAAATCACTTATCACTTTCAAAATACAAATCCAAACACATGTTGTCTAGCACATCAAGGCAAGCTTTAATAATCTCACGTGCTTCTGAAGGGGACCCGATTTTGTCTGTGTGATGAAGAGAGCGGGCCCACGGTTTACGGGCCTCAGCAATGTCTAATGCCCATGTCTTAGCCACTTTCAACAATTCTTGAGGAGGGACAATAGCGTCAACTAGACCTAACTTTCCCCCTTCCTCAGAGAGTATTGGTTTAGATGACTACAAACAAGATTCATAAATTAATATCATCGATCTGTTTAAATATTCATAATCAGTAAATACTAAATAGTATTCAAGGATAGAGGAGAGAGGAGAGATGTGCTCACCAACATCATTTCAACTGTCTTTGATAATCCCAAAAGCCTAGGAAGTCTTTGGGAACCTTGAAAACCATATTTTCCATTATTTAGTGAAATCCCATTTGTATAATCATATTAACTAAGGTGTTGTGTTGTTATTTACCATCATTTCTAAACAGAAAGGCTAAAATGGTCAATTAATCAGGTTTGGATAACTGATTTAGTCTAAAAAAGAATCTGTCTTTGCATATACAATGTTTTATCCATACAAGACTTAATAGGGGAAAAAAGAAACATGTATTTCTTTTTGCCTTGATGCAAAAAAGAATGACTTAACAAAGAAAGTTAGAAAAAGAAGGCTTTTCATGTCAAGTTTCAACCTTTTTACAACTTTGCCCTCATCCCCTCATTTATTTTTTTTCCTTTTCCTTTTTCCTCAAATGTGTTTTGAATTTCTCATATATTTTTAAACATGATTCATTCAGACATACCTCCAAAGACTGGCATAACTCCAAGAGAGAGTTCAGGTAAGCCAAGTTGAGCTCTTGGAGCTGCAACACAGGCATGACATCCCTACATTAATCAAATACATTAAAACACATTTACAATAACTATTTTTTTTAAATAATTTGACTCATAAAAACTACAAACCATTGCAAGTTCTAAGCCACCCCCGAGTGCAAGTCCTTGTACAGCAGCAACTGTGGGTTTCTTGGCATCTAGGTGTACCCAAAAAAGAAAAAAAAGAAATTGTGTAAAGAAATGTAGACATAACTACAAAAACTATAAGATAAATTGAAAGCAAAAACCTTCAATTGTGTTGGTCACAAGGGCAACAGATACATCAGGTAGTTGAGAAATGTCTCCTGCAATGACAATGGTTAAAGTTTCAACATGGATTTAAGGAACATAATAGATTAGTAGCTTCTTGCATATATGATGGATAAGGAAGTCATACCAGTCTTGTGAACTTTCTGAAAAACATTGATGTCAAATCCACCTGAAAATCTTCCATTCTTGCCTTCATAAAGTAAGAGAAATGAAATTAAGTCATGGAACAGCTTGACTACAAATTTAGTAAATATATGCTCCTTGTAAATACCTTCATAAAGTAAGAGAGATGAAATTAGGTCATGGAGTCGTACGAGTTTGACTACAAATTTAGTAAATATATGCTCCTTGTAAACCAGAAGTAATGGATAGAAAACATTATTCTGCAAGAACTACAAGTGCAAAGATTCTAGTGAAGAATTAGTAACAAAAATTACGTCGATAGATATACCATGATCGTGTATTAAGATATTATTTAATCATGTTGTTATTCGGTATTAAACCCTAAGGCCTAATCCTTTGTGTTCTACAAAAGAGACTAAATCGACTGATTCAAATAACACACCAAAGAAAGCCCCAACGCATGCAAGGAAGTCCATTTTGTCAACTTTCCAAATATGGTAAGCTTCAGTGTAATCGATTAATCAAGGAAGTGCAAACAAGATGATCGAAGCAAGTATGGCAAGATGAGTGTAATATAATAGCTTCGTTAACAATTGTAATGATATGAACATAGTTATCACCATAACTATATTTGACACTGTAGATTGACACCCTGCGCTAAAATTTACAGCTGTTCACAAAAATGATCCTGCAACACAAGTAAAAAATGTCAATTCTGATAACACATGGTTTCAAAATGATCAAACATGGCAGTTGATCAAATGCAAAAGTTGTTAATTATTTATATATCGCTATACCAGTGGCAACATAGCAAGAAGACATAGATCCAACAATGTTCATGCAGCCTATTACGAGCATTTGTTTGTTCCCATCTAGACATAGACATAGCTCCAGGGGCAGGAGTGCCAGTAGGAGTGCCACTTGTCCCTGCAGTTACAGCATGACTTGCTAGCATATGACAGAAGCTGGCATAACCAGCACCATTGCTCTCACCTCTTGAGCATTTGTTCCTTCTAATAGCCTGCATTTTATCCTGTCTAATCCCTGCATTTTTTTTTGTTTTTTTATTAAATCCAACAGAAAAAGAACCATCCATAAATTAGAGAAATAGCTTAAACAAACATACAGGGCCATATTGTTGTCTGTGCTGAGTGGAAGGAAGAGAATGAAAATCCGCATCCAGAATGGCAATCACATATATTGTTCAGTGAAACTGAGTAACAACATAACAGCCACAACATCAACGCATGTTCTTGAAATGACACAACTGCCATTCACTAGCTATTTTTTTAGGCCTAAAGTTTTTTTAGATTACAAGGATCAAAAACATCACTTGGCAAATCAAAAGGATAAAAAACAACCCTTTTTTTCCTTCTCTATGTCAGAATCTGACATGTTTATACCCTCAGAAGTCGATCCTGGTGTAGGTGTTGGATTGTTTTTAAAGTAATCAGTTCACTTTCATGACCCACACTGTCTGCATAGGAGGTTGTCCACCAAAAGTTGATGTAGGATTCCCAAATATCGGATGCAGAACAGCAAGCTCTAAATAGGATTCCCATCTTTAAACTCTCCATCCAGTAATTGAAGGACCTTCATCTGGATCATAAGGAGACATGTATTGACCTACATAAACAATGTCAACAGTTAACAAGTAAATGTATGTTTCACAAATGGAGAAGGTTGGAAGGTTGAAAGGTTAAGTACCTTCAACAATTACAATAGCAATGACAGAGCCACCACAGGTAGGGCCAAAGGCAACTGCAGTAACTCTAGAACCCCATGTAGTTGTTGCTGCTAATTGCGTTGAAGCTTCAGGACTCACATATGCAGAAAAATTTGAAACGGGAGAACAATGAAGTGCAACCATGTCACTATAATCTTGCTCTGTAAGTTTCTTCCCTTGTTTACTTTCTGAATCAAAGTATTCCTTCCAGCTAAACAAATAAGAAGCCCATGAAGCAAAACCATCCCAAGAAGGTGGAGTAAGTGAAGAAGGGATCCCATTGGTGGTGCTAGTCTTTGGAGTTTCTTGAAATCCATTCCCAAATCCAGGAGTCACCTTTTACAAATAATTGCTGAAGAGATATCAAACTTTCAAGATTTTCCATTGAACTTTTCTTTACATCATCACTAGAAGACTTTAGTGCAGGCTTCAGTGTTGATTTACAATCCATCCCAAGCACCTCAGCAGGTGTTAAACCTTTGTCATTCAACTCATACTGGAAGTCATTTCCTAGTTTCAACCTAAAAATTCAACAAGAAAACAAAAAATTAATAAGGGTTGTGATAAAGATGATTCATATGTCAAAAAAGTGTACATCCTCATAGTCTGGTTTCATTCGATCTGAAGTGCCTCAAGCTCCTTTAAATTTGTCCCTATGACAGCATTAAGATCCCAACATTTCTCCTCCCATTTGTTCCTGTCAATCTCTGCCTCTCGCCCTCTCCTATATCTCTTTCCACTGATTGTAACTCTCTCTTCATCCTCTCTGCATCTCTTAAATTCATAGTCTGTTCTTCCACTTTCTTCTTCAACTCTTCATTCTCCTCACACATCCTAACCCTCTCCTCTATTTTAGTTACCAATTCCTTCTTTTTTCTTCCAATAGCTTCTCCATAGACACAACATGTGTCTGCAACTGTTCGATTAATTTGTTGAACTTCTTAATATCCTTTTCCAACATTCCATGTTCCTCTTCCTTTGATTCCCTCGGTGATGGCCCAGACTTCATTGTCTCCAGTTTTGCCTCCAAATCCTTCACATCTCCTGGTTTGACCTTTATATTCTCCTCCAGAGATATTTTCTCCTATTGTCAACGTTTCAGGAACCTAAATCAGCCTGAGTATACTAATTTTTAGGTATTTTGATTATACAAAGAAAAGTGATTAATACCTGGTGTAACTTCTCCATGAATTTTTCATCTTCCCTTTCCATTGCATCGTCGTCTCCCCTTATGTAAAGCAGGTAAGTATTCAGAGTATAGATGAACATGCTGTTGCCAGAAATCGACTGTGACTAGGTGGAATTTGCAAGGTGCTCGTTATACATTGCAATTTGTACAAGCCAATGAAGCACGACTAAAACAGTAGGAAACATGTGAGGCGTTCCAGGGGATTTTAAGGCCGACTTGTTGACAAGGGTAAATGTTGATTCAAACCCTAGAAATCGCTCCAAAAGGGTCAAAGATGGGAAGGGGAATGATTTACAATGTAAGATAGAGGAGGTTGCTTCGAGCCCTAGAAATCACACGACGTCGAGAATAATGTAGAAGCTAAGGGGGGTGTTTGAGAGTAATGTATGTTCTTGTTCTGGATGTGTAGCTGAGAGGCATTGTGCTTGACGGTGGTTGCAATCAACATTTGTTTTTGGTAGACGATAGGTGAAGCGAGGGGTTCAATCGATGTTTTTAAAGTGAAATCGGAGATTGGAGAGCTGAAGAGGAGAGAATCACAGAAGCATGAAGTGTGGATTGATTTTTTAGGGTTTAATGGTGGTGAAGCGGATAGGAGAGGAGGGAGAGGGGAGAATCGATTGCGAAGATGAAAGATAGAAAGAAGGTAGAAAAGAACAAGGCGGGTTTTCAAAATTTTGGGGATTTCATTTTCGTCCGTATCTACTAAATGCGCGTTCATTAAAATTATAAAGCGACACTTATAGAGGATGCGCATTTAAGATACAGCGTCCTCCGTGTTTTTAATATTTTTTTCTTATGACACTAATTTGAGGGCACGCAATAATGCGTGACCTATATCCTTAAATTTTTTGAAGAGATGACACTTTTTTAATGTCACTCTCTTTTGCGTAACATAAATCAATGAGTGTCGTGGTTTGCGCATCGTAAAAGGGTAGTTTTCTTGTAGTGCAAATATCATTCTACCTTTTGTTAATGTAAATCTTCTTACTTATATAAAATAATGATATGTGGAATCTGTTAATTATCTTTCTTAATCTCTTGTCTTGATATTAATATTTGTTTTGATCTAATGAGAAGAAAGAAAGATAGGAACAAAAGATACGAGGATATATGATTTCTCATTTATATTTATGTAATTTTTTTGTACTTCCAAACAAGCCTACAAACTTAACCTTTCAGGGGGTGATGCATGAACCTAAAAATGAATTGTATTTTGATCTAAACCTACTAATATATTTTCAATCCAAAGGGGGCAGAATTTATTAGACAGGAGGGGTATGTCTGGTAACAAGTTTTTGAAGATTTTAGGAGCTTTTAAGCCATCAATTTTTAAGACAAAAAAATCAAAATTAAAGAAATATCTTGTTAAACAATATGAACTTAAAGCTTTTATTTTAAACAAAAAATTCATAATCAAAAAGTGAAACTACTTTAATTGGCTTTGGAAAGCTTTTAACTTTTAGATTTTATATAATTCTACACATTTCAAAATTCTAATATAATCTTAACACACTTTTCAAAAGCTTACAATTACTTTTTCCAAATATTACCATACAAATAAAAGTTATAGCTTTCAATTTAAAGATATAGTAAAAGCTTCCAACTAACAATTAGTTTTGTTAAACATGTAATAATAATTGATTAATGTATGTTTTCCTCACCTGGTCCACCAGTGATTGTAATTATCACGTTAAAGGTGCTGACAACAATATTTCTATGAAACAGAATATGTATATCGTACACACAATGTAAAGTATCAAAAAGTGTTGCCCATCAGGCAAGAATCATTGATGAAGCTCACGTAATATTATAACGAAATTTATTAATGATGGAGTACGCACACAACAAATGTAACGGTTTTCTGAAAGCAATACATGTGTATCTTGTGCAATTGAAGTTTGTTCTTGTTCGAGAATGTCAATTTCTGCTTCGGAAGCTTATTACAGTTACAAGAACCGAAAGCATACCCATATTAATTAAATTCTAAACAGAAAGAAAATACCACTCATCACCAAAGCTCCAAGCTAACTAAACCCAATCATAGTAATAGTAATTAATAATCCACCTCTTCAGAAATGTCACTATCCTGAGAGACAGAAAAATCATCTTCATCAGAATATCCGGAAGAATACGTATCATCAAAGTCATAATAGTTTTGTGTTGAGCTCTTAAAATCTTTTATCCGTTCCATGCACTCTTTTAATAAATTCATGTCAAGATTAATTTTATAACACCAACGAACATCTAGGGATTCAAGGTGAGGACATCCGTTAAGAATGGCCTTGAATCCGTAGTTTGTCATCTTACTACCAAACACCTGCAAATGGCGTAACTCGGGCATGTTGTTTGCAATGGCAAGGGCATCATCATCATATTTAATGAATGACCCGGTGATTGTCATGTCCATCTCGAAAGACTTAAGCTGAGGGCAATTCCGTCCAATAACTTTAATGTCTTCAATGTTGATTGAGATGGAAGTAAGATGAAGTTTCTCCAATTGTGGTACCCTTTTGACTGACCTTCTCAACCCACTGCCCGTGATATCAAAGCAGCACCAAAGGGAAAGGCTGTTCAGCTTACTTGAGCTGTTGTTCACAAGTCACCACATAAAGCCAAAGAAAAGAAAAACATTTTCAGTAATTTAAAACTACTAAAAGCAAAGAAACTACTTGCAAACGAACATAAAAATAAATAAATAAATAGATTAAATGCTATGAAGGTAAATCATACACCTCAAGATTTGTAATGCTACTATTGTCTATTGAAGATGAGGATGTGAGGGCATTCGCGTCTTTTGACACATACAAGAGATCGAGAGGGAATTTTTGTCCAATGCATGCCAAAATTAGTATATGCAAGGTGTTTTGTCAAGTAACAATGTCCTCTACTGTGCCACGTTCTCAAGTTTGTGTTCAATTCACTCATAGTACACATGTTCCAAATACTACACGCATGCAACCAAATTAATCAAATTGCATGTCTACATAACAAATAAAACAAGCCAAAAAACGTATATGATATGATCTGGACCAAAATTTTTACTTTCATAATCTATTGGTTAAATGTTCTCTTGATTAAGGAGTATGATTGAATAGCAATGGCAAGGAAGAAACCTACCGTATCAACATGTAATCAAGGAGATCATCGGTGCCAAACCCTTTGATACTGAGATCGGTCAATTCCCCACAGCTAAGATCGACTGCCTTCTTAGTCAGCATCTCAAGATCGTAATTTGTATGACATACATCCCAACTATCAACATCGATAACCTTCCATATCGCCGGATCTTTGCAAATTCTCCACCAACTTGTGCATACTTTCATTGCGCCGTTGAGTAATTCTAAAGTCCGCAATCTTTGAAATATATTTACCATCAGTTCGTGAGGAATTTCTAGCCATTTTGGAGATTCCTTCATGGGCAAACTCGGGTCTGCGGCTGACGCCATTCTACGACGATTTTACCGACTTATTTGATCTCTCCTGAAGCGCCGTCTGGATTATTGAAAACCCTTTTATTGGAGATAAAAGTGAATTAGTAAAATGTCCCTGCCGTTTTGTGTGCTTTACAATATAGTCCTTTGAGAAAAACAAATTATATTATATGTCTACAATCTACATTATACCTAATCACTCGTCTCTCTAGCATGGTAGTGAAAGTCGTACTTAATTCCATGGTTCAAAATTTTGGGACAATTAATCAACCGTATATGCAATAGCATAGCCATTGTCTAACTTTAATGCATGTGAGCTAATTGTGATAGTTAATTTGGTAAAAGTTACGGACCGTGTTACTATTATGCATGTTATCCCCTACTTTCTTAATTGGATCTTGCATCTTCACATATGTCCATGCATTGGTTCGACTGTCTGTTCAAAGAAAATGATTTGACTTTTTCTTCCTCTAGTGTCAACTATCTTCTTTTATTACAATGATAGTTAAAAGAATAATATCCTAGAACAGTTAGTATTCAACAAAAAAAATAACACACATGTCGTATCAAATATCAATGATTACATAAAATGCAAATAAATGTCACACAAGCGACAACCAAAAACAGATAAATCAACCAAAAATCTAATCACATTGGTTCAAGGGTAGGGTATACATCAAAAGTCAATACCAGAATCACACCAAACAATTGTACAACATTGTAGCATATTTATGTATGTACAATTCTAAATTCTTATAATAATGGCACAGCCCTTCTTGTATCTCAGCCCACTTGCAGGGGCGGTTTTGTTTAGGGTCTCATGGTGGTACCGACATGACTTGCCGGTACGCAGTGTAAAAAATTTCGAATTTTTTTTCTATTATCGTGTCACTACTTAAATTTCCCGTGTCACCCTGTGCCACCCCTAGGCCAGCCTCTGCCTATGTGTTTGTATTAATTTAGATGAATTTCATATATGTTCTTAAACATCAAAATATCATATTTGTTTAGCTTAATCTTTTAATATCATATTTACTTTTCATAAACATTCAAAATATCATATTTGTTCAAATTTTTTTATAACGTTTTTAATAGTTTATGATCATTTTTTATATTTTAGAATTATTTTAATAATTAAAAATTTGAACCATATGATCCCATATTTTTGGAATATTGCCCTCTTGACAAACAAAACGTTTCATTTTCAACCATTTCCATGGAATGTATGCAATAATTGTTTAGTTTTTTGTTGTTATTGATTATTGTCATGTTGTAGATTGAGGATATTTTCAATATTACTATTGATATTTTGATGTATAAAAGGCATAAGTTATATTTTGATATTTGAAAAGTGCATATATGATATTTTGATGTTTAAGAAGGCATATATGATATTTTAAAATTTTATAAAGGGTAAATATGATATTTAGAAATTAAGCTGGACAAATATGATATTTTGATGTTTAATAAAGGTATATACCACATTCTCCCTAATTATTAATTTATCCATCCTGCTTGTAACATCTATATATATGGCATATATGAGAGAAATTTTTTCATGAGAAATTAATCTAATTACATGGTATCATAACAAAATCAAATCTCCTCCTAAAACAAATCCTCTCCCCTTATCGACTCTAACCCTA